TTGACTAAAATATTGCCAAAACAAAAATTATCATAAACGGTAAAAATGCTTAATTGAAGGCCTAAACGATGAAATTTGCTCAAAATTTGACGTGCATTAGGGCCAAAGGCCCTGAGTTGTGATCATGGCCCATTTCCAATCAAATTAGACTAGCAATTCGCCAAAAAAGAACAAATTCGAAATTAAATGAAATTATTATTTTGTCTTCATCACTAACGAATAGTCACCACAACCACAGTTTCACTACAATAGAAAGAACACCGAGTTCACAGCAGGGGTGGTGTTCCACTAAGGACCACGAAGGAATCAAAAGAAAGGGGTTCAACCGAAAAGGCCCAACACATTGAATCAATCAATAGAACCAGAATTAGGAACACAGGCACCCACAGGCCCCACCAGTAATAGTACTAAAACCAGTGCACACCAAAACCTTCAAGAATTGAAGGATCAAGAACTAGGGCTTTCAGACTTTCAGGAGATCTATGATTTGAAGGCTGAAAATTAATTTTCCAGACCCCAAATCGCGATCGAAGTCTCAAGAACAGCCACCAATGGCTTTGATACCACTGTTATACAAATTACAGACTTAAGAATAAAGATCAAAGAGACCTATTACATCCGAAATCATCCTAATACATGAAACTATGGAAATAACCACTGAACATCAAAGATATCACAGATCGAAAGGCTCAGAATACAACCACCATAAGATCAACACATCTAAAGCCTGATCTAACCCAAAACCCTCACAACCACTGGCCAAAAAAGTAGAAACTTTTATGAACCAGAAGGACTACTAGTTACCAGAATCTCAACACAGATTCTTTCAGTTGATTCACAAAGAATAACCCTCTAAGAAACGAATCCAAAGACTCTTCACGGAGAAGAAGACGAAAGAGACACAAAGGGAGAAGAATACTCTAGAACACACTCTGAATCACAGAAAACCGTATGAATGAATAAAACCTCTCGTTTACCCAAGAAATATCTGTGCATTGAGATTGGCAAGCCTTCATCCAATGGCCGAGTTATTTACTAGAAGGCTGGGCTGAGTCTGAAGCTGGGCTTCCATTCAGCTGATAGGTAATTAGTAATTAGGTCGAAGGCCATCATCATTGCCTTAAGTGGGCTGGACCAGGGCATCACGGCCTCACAAATTACACCTATATTAGGTAGATACCGCTCAATTAATCATAAAGAAGCAAGTAAAAAAGGCGTAAATAAGTGTTAATATGAACTTGTCATAATTCTCTATCAACTTATGTGATTCTTATCTAACTGAATAATTCAGAATGATAAGAATAAAGGACCTACAAAATTACTCTCAATGATAAGCAGTCTACACATTTTTGTGAGTAAAAAAGCAAATAAAATTTCAAATAAGTACAAAAGCAAATAAATTTCAAGTCTTTTACTTCCTGAATTTGTTTCATACTAAAGTTCAAATTGATTTGGTATTTTGAAAAAATTAAACATTAAAATATTGATAATTCAGCTGTACGGACTTATTTGGAACAACATTTGATTTTACATTATTTGGTCCATATCATTTCTAAAATACGTGTTTTCCTTTCTTATTTTTAATCACACGTTTTTTAATAAAATAATATTACATGAAAACTCAAATTTTTCCCTTATTTTTTGACCACACATTCTCCATCAAATCACTACTCGAAAATTCGTTTTTGTGAAGAAAAAAATGGGGCTCAAACATGCTCTTATATTGACGATGAAAACAAGAACCTAAAGAAAGTATGGATTCACCACTATTCAGACAAAGAGAACTCTCTTGTTCTCTTCCTCACCAACCACCTTTAGAATCCATCTCTCATTCTACATCTTCTATATATTAAAAGTGGCTATATAACGGAATTTTTTGTTTTTAACGAAAAAACTAACGAAATTTGTTATTTTAACGGACTATGTAACGGAATTTCTTGTTTTAAACAGACAGCTGTACCTTTTTTCAGTATTTTTATCATAACTTTGTATTCCGATATCCGATTGAGGCAATTCAAAATGCGGTGGAAAGCTAACATATCTGGCTACAACTTCGATTCAGACATCATTCT